AAGCAAAGTGGTGTCTGCAGGTACCGGGAATCTGGGGGAGGACCTCAGTGCTGGGGAAAGATGGTCCTCCCATGACCCCTATCCATCCAGACCACAATGCAGAATCTGGGTGATTCTGTCAGAAGACAGTCAGGAACTATTTATGGCCTCCCAAAGAGTAGAAGACTCAGTCAGAGACTGCAACAATGATGAACTGTGGCTCTTCAGAGAGGACATTCTTTGGATGCTCTATCAGCAAAAGCAAACCAGCTGTCTATCTTGAAGTGGATTAACCAATAGCTGTATCTCTGGTGGTGCCAGCTCCCATCTGGCTTGAGCCTGGGGTCAAAATAAGTGATAAGTGCAGGGGCAAAAGAGGGGGTCTTCACTAGGTACCATGGCCAGGCTTAGTCCTGGGAGATTTAACATTGTATAGAAACTGTTGGGTGTGATATATAGAAATGTCTGGGTGTGTGTTGGGGGGATAGTTCTGTAGCTTTATCTCTGTTTATCTCAGTCTGAAAGCAAGATGGCTAAGAACCAGATTGGACACTCTCTCCTGAACTGGGTCCTGGACCATGAGAGGCCAGTGAACTTAGTCCTTATTCTGTCCAGATGTCTGTCCTGGCTAGTTTTTATACCAACATGTTACAAAATAGAGTCATCTGAGACAAAGCTCAATTGAGAAAATGACTACAGATCATACTGTAATCAAGCCTGTATGGTATTTTCTTAATTAGTGGTTCTTGGGGGAAGGCAAAGTCCATTGTGGGTAGTGCAACCCTGGGCTGGTGGTCCTGGGTGCTTCAAGAAAGCAGGCTGAGGGGCTGGAGAGATGGCTCAGCAGTTAAGAGCACTGTCTGCTCTTCCAGCTGAACAAGCCATGAGGAGCAAGCCAGTAAGCAGCATGCCTCTGTGGCCTCTGAATCCACTCCTGCCTCTGGGTTCCTGCCCTGTTTGAGTTCCTTCCCCGACTTCTCTCTGTGATGGACTGTTTGATGGACTGTTACCTGGAGGTGTAAGTAGAAACCCCCACCAAATTGCTTTTGGTCATACTCTCTTCACATATTAACCCTAACTAAAGCAAGATCTCAAAATGAAAAGAATCTGGAGACACTGTGCAGAAGGTCACAGAATAGAGAAAGCGTTAGTGAGGAAGGAGACCTCACATTTCACAAAGATACACTAGGGCATCTTAAATAAACTCCTGGTCAGTGTCCAGGATGAGTGGGACCTTAGAGGTTTCCATATACTCTACAGGAGACTTCTTTGTCACATGTCCCTACCCTCCCCCACCCCTCAGTAGACAGGTCATTCTACCAGACACCAGAAAAAGTAGCGTGTCGTCCACTTAGGACCCTGTGTGACCTCAGGAAGATGAGATGTGTGGCCCTCTCAGAGTCTGCTCTGCCAACAGTTCAGACCACTAGGGGTTTGAGATGAGAGAGAACTAGCAAGGAGGGTGTGAGTGGGCAAAAGCAGGAAGCAGGGGCAGGAGGTCTTCAAGGAAGAAGGAAGAACAGAGAGGTGGAGAGGAGAGGCACACAGGGAGAGAAGGCAGGGGAAGGTGAGGCACACTGAAGGTGGCCTGAGTGTCAGGCCTCTGAACAGTAAAATTTGAACTATCTGGGAGAGCCTGGCCAGGCCTGTGGCTGTGGGAGGAGTACGGTCTTTCCTTAGATATGCCTCATGGCAGCAGTGTTGTGTTTCTCTAGGGATCATACAGGTGACACAAGCCTTAAATTCTCCTTTCACGCAGATCCTGAGTGAAAAGAGCTGGTAAGAAAGAGATGAAAGAAAAGGTGTTGGGCAGGAGGAAAAGGTAGAAGGCAACTGAGAAGTTGCCCTGGGGGAAAAGAGGGGAGGCTGCCTCTTGGAGGTGTCCCTTCTGGCCATGTATGCAAGCCTGAACTGGGCGGGTACTCCCAGTGTGTGGGTGTCTGTGGGGGCGAGGTATGGCTGTTTGTGCAGGTGTGTGAGAACAGAATATGTGTGCTGGCAGACAGGTGACTGCAGGTAGGACAGAAAGCACAAAGGGACATATGCCCGTTGCTCATGTTGTGTACCCTGTTAGCGTGACCATTCTATAGGCTCCACGTCGCCCTTCTCTGTATGCATCTGATTGTGCCAGAAGCTTCGGCCAGGGGCTGTCTATGTCACAGCTTCCCTACTGTCAGAACTCTCTCTCTCTTTCAGCAGAGCAAGGGAGGAGTACTGTTGCCCTCCAAACTGAGGCAGAAGAGAAGCCTTGTACCTATGGCAGGCATATGCAGCGTGTGTGCCCACACAGGAGAGAAGCCAGCCCAGCAAGGCATGGGGGGGGGCGTTTCTCAGGACCCTCGGGTTTCTCCAGCTGCTGGCAGGAGCAGGAATCCTTGCGATACTCCTGGAGTCTCCAACACTCTTCACAGTAGTACCTGGTGCGTCCCCACCCCCACCCCAGGCAGGGGTCACATGTGGACTCACAAACCTGCTTCAATCCACAGTGACTGCTGTGTTCTGCTGGTGTCCAGACTGCAGTACCAGGCTCAGTCTCTCTTCGGGATGAGATCTTGTCCGGAGAGCTCTCTAGTCCATTTAAACAGGCTACCAATGAATGACACACAATTTCTTAACAATGGGTATGGTGATTTCAATGAAAATGGCCCCTGTATTGTCATGCTTAGTCCCCCCCCCCAGGGTGAACTGTTTGAGAAGGATTAGGAGGTGTGGCCTTGTTAGAGGCGTATCACTAGGGGTGGGCTTTGAGGTTTCAAAAGCCCAATTCAGGCCCAGTATCTATCTGCCTGCTGCCTGCAATCAGGACATGAAGCCCTCAGTTACTTGCCCAGCACCATGCCTGCCTGCATGCCACCACATCCCACCATGGTGGACTAGCTTCCTAAAACTGTAAATAAGCCCTCAATTAAATGCTAAAGAGAGCAAATAAAGAATATGAGTTGCCTTGGTCGTGGTGTCTCTTCAAAGCAACAGAACAGTAACTAAGACACTGAGTATAACATGAACTCCTTGGGAAAGATCCACACCCAAACAAGGGAACCTGCTAGAAATGCTGTCTTACACAAAGATGGCAGGCATCATAATTACCAACATGTTTTTAACACCTATGCTAACACAGACATAGTCTGAGACATTTGCAGTCTTGAGATGTTGCAATCTCAACTCAGCCTTTCCAGAGTGTCAGATCTTCCCCAGAGTAATTTTACAAAGTACATTCTTCCTGTGCTGTGTGAGCAATGTCAGGGCCAAGCATCCTCATAAAAATTCAACAAGTCATAGAAATCCAGGTATTGCTTTCCCCACTGTTCCCTTCCCTATAGAACTCACAAGTATCCAAAACATAACAGGCTATATTCCCCCAACAGCTCAGTGAAGTCAGATCTGAATTCTTTAAAAAATCTGGACTGTTCTCCTTCAGTCTTATATCGCTTAAGAGTATTTTGAATGTCATCTTTACTTTCTTATAGCCTTATGTCCAGATTAAGGAGCAAGTATACCACTAGAACTTGATCCCCACCTCCCAAACCCTCTCCTAGTTAATCCCAGATGCTTCCTCAGGCTAACTGCCATCTCCAAAAAATGGCCCTGATTTACACACACACACACACACACACACACACACATTCTCTCATATTATAGAAAGCAAGTTTCAGCAAGTTTGCAATTTCTTATATTTATTTGAATAGATGAATTGCACACATCAAAACAATCAAAATGCCTAATTTCACTATAGATATTTTAGTTTTTAAAAATCACATTTATTATTTTCATGCATGCAGAGATCAGAGGACAACTTCTGTCAGTCCGTCCTTTCCATCACACGGGTTCTTGAGATCGAAACTCAGGCCGGGCTTCGTCTTTAACTGCTGAGCCAGCTCACTAGCCATTACACAACTTTTAGATGAAGACATTTGGGGAAGAAATGCTATATGGAAGAAAAACACTGATGCTCTGCATTGCCTAGTGTTTGTGCTCATAAAATTGATAGTTTTCTATATTGCTGGGCTTTCATTGTACCCTACTTAATGCTGAACTAAAGACAAACAAAATTCAAAAAGCCCCATACAGACAGATGTAAGGGAATGTGAATCAAGTAAATGGGTTTCTTATGCCTTGGCATAAGAAGTATATTTAGTCTCCACCCAGTTTCCAGCACAAGAGTCTCTAAACCTTTTGTTACTCCTAAGATCTCTTGCAGTCATCTGTTTATGACAAAGTAGTGACTTGTTGCAAGCTCCAAGATTTGGGGATGGTTGTCAAAGGAGCAAACTATCTGCTGTTGATTTCTGGAAGAAGAAACTTATCTACTAATAGCCAAGGACTTCATCAATCATGGCTACATACTGTCATCTCCATTAAAGCCCTAAACAATGGTGCTCAGCAGGATCAGGCACTCCATCTCCATGGGGGAAAAGGCACTGTCACACGGGAACCCTGTGGATCTTACTTTGTATCTCTTCATCTGGCTGTTTATCTGACATTCATGATATAATTTAGAATCAATGGTAACTGCGAATTGTCTCTTTAAGGTCTGTGGGTTACTATAGCAAATTACTGAACCCAAAAGGGTTGAGTTTGCAGCCAAATCAAAAATGTATGACTCATCAGCAGTGTCTGAAGACTGGGAGAGGCAGTCTGAACCAGCAGGATGTTATGGATAGTGTCTATGTTGATATAAATTGGAGGACACTCAGTTGGTGTCTTCTGACAACTGGTATAGAAACCCGAATATTTGGTACTAGAAGTGTTTTGAGTGGAAAACCTTTTCCTTTACTACCCATTAACAGTTGACAACACAGAGAGGTAACTGCTGTTTCTCAGCTTCTTGGCAGCTTAGATGATATTAGTGGCTTACATTTTTTAAAAAAGAGGGTAAGAGACTTCAGAGAGTATCTTGAGAATTCCAACACTTTCATGGAGCCCAAGACCACAGAGTTGAAATCCAAGGCAGACATTTTTTTCTCAGGACATAGCCATGTTTCTAGAGTTCAGTCACTACAAAATAGAACTCTGACATGCTATTTTGTTAAATATATTTTATGCTTGTATGGCAGGCATCGATAGCAAATACAGCATCTACAATCACTGAGGGCTGCATAGTATTGGAGATGCACATCATATATTCAATGTGACATGCAAAAACAAAGGTTTTCACTAATTTTCACTCCTTGGGGTACTAATGAGGTGGAACACTTCAGAACACTTGGAATTTTGAAGCATTGCCTGTTAATGTCACTGTTGATTTTTTTAAACGTTATTTATATTAAAATCTGAGTACTAGATATTACACTTTTTATCATAAATTTTACAAATGTCTTTCCATGTGTGTGTGCGCATGTGGGTGCTACTGGGAATGTGTATGTGCGCTTTACATCTCAATCTTATTTGAAATTATTTACAACAAAACACACAGGTTTATTTTTTAATGAGTCATTTGTCAACATTTTCCTCATTGTTCATCTTCTTTAGATCTGATATTTTTTAAAGGCTTCTTCCAACAAATATTTTTTTAATATTTACTTCCCCCCCCCCTTTTTAAAAGGAAGTGTAATTCCAGCACTCAAAGACACAGATGCAGATGGGTCTCTGTGAGTTCGAGGCTAGCCTGGTCTACAAATTAAGTCCAGAACAGCCAAGGCTACACAGAAAAACCCTGTCAAAAAAAAAAAAAAGTATAATGTATCCTTGTTGTCAAAAACTTAGCAGAAATAAATACTTTGGCTCCACCCCTTTTACTTTTTTTTTTTTTTTTTTGGTTCCCTCAGTTGAGAATTCTTAATTTTCTTCAGTCTCACAAAAGTTATTCCTAGAAAAAAATCCACTTTCCCTGATGCTGCTGGGAATGGGATGTTTTCTCTCACGATATCCCTGTCAGATTACTGGTATAAAACTAAGTTATTAGCTGGGCAGTGGTGGCATACACCTGAAATCCCAGCACTCAGGAGGCAGAGGCAGTCAGATCTCTGAGTTGGAGGCCAGCCTGGTCTAGAGTGAGTTCCAGGACAGCCAAGGCTATCAAAACGAGTTCATTTAAAAAAAAAAAAAAAAAAAAAAAAAAACAGGTTATTTTATAGATAACTTTCCAGCTGCTCAGCTAATCTTGATTAAAAATAGAAAAGAGAAAACTCATTTCCAAATGAAGACTGCCACATTCATTTCCCTCTGAGGGTTTTCCTCCAGGTAATAATTGATGAGCCATGATCTATTTCCTATCAATTCCCTCTGAGGGTTTCCCTCCAGGTAATAACTGATGAGCCATGATCCATTTCCAATTAAACACAGGAGTTTTGTTGTTGTTGTTTTTGTTTTTCTTTTGTTTTGTTCGTTCTTTGTTTCTTCTTCTTCCTCCTCCTCCACCTATTAGGATTTCCCTTCACTATGAACATCTTGGTGCTGACTAAGTTGGAAGCTAAACCTGAAAGTCTTCCCACATACATTACACACATAGGGTTTCTTCCAAGTATGGACAGTCTGGTGTATAATGCAGTCAGAACTAAGGCTGAAGCCTTTACCACACTCTACACATCGGAAAGGCTTTTCCCCAGTATGGCTTCTCTGATGTCTAACTAAATGAGCGTTGACGTGGAAGGCTTTGCCACACTCACTGCACTGAAAGGGTTTCTCTCCGGTATGGACCCTCTGGTGCACAATATAGTCAGAACTACAACTGAATGCTTTCTCGCATTCCATACACTTGAAAGGTTTCTCCCTAGTATGGATTTGCTGATGTCTAGTTAACTTGGCATTGATGCTGAAGGCTTTCCCACATTCCTTACACTGATAGGGCTTTTCTCCAGTATGGGTTCGCTGATGATCAAGTAGGTTTCTTTTAGAAGTAAAGCACTTCCCACATTCACTACATTCAAAAGGTTTCTCCCCTGTGTGAGTTCTCCGATGCTGCATCAGTTTGGCATTAACGTTGAAGGCCTTCCCACACTCAGTGCACTTATATGGCTTCTCCCCAGTATGGATTCTCAGATGCTGCCGAAGCTGGGAGTTACACCTGAAAGATTTCCCACACTCGTTACATTCATAGGGTCTCTCGCCTGTGTGGATTCTCTGGTGCTGGATTAACTTTCCCTTGGCACTGAAAGTCTTCCCACAGTCGCTGCACTCATAGGGTTTTTCACCGGTGTGGACTCTCTGATGTTGAATGAGCTTTGCGTTTTTAGTGAAGCCTTTCCCACACTCACTGCACCGATGTGGCTTCTCTCCAGTGTGTATACTCTGATGCTGCCTGAGCTGCGTGCTGCACCTGAAGCCCTTCCCACACACATCACACTCGTAAGGCTTCTCTCCTGTATGAATTCTTTGATGCTGAATTAATTTTGCGTTCACATTGAAAGCTTTCCCACAGTCACTGCACTCGTAAGGCTTCTCCCCAGTGTGGGTTCTCTGGTGTGTAATATATGCAGAACTACAGCCAAAGCCAGTCCCACATTCCTGGCACTGGTAGGGCTTCTCTCCCGTGTGGATCCTCTGGTGTCTAACAAGACTTCCGTTAACACTGAAGGCCTTGCCACAGACCTTACACTGGTAAGGCTTTTCTCCACTGTGGATTGTTTGGTGTGTGATATAGTGTGAACTGTAACTGAAGCTTTTCCCACACTCCAGGCATTTGAAAGGCTTCTCTCCATTATGAAGTCTTTGATGCCAAACAAATTTTGCTTTGACACTGAAGGCTTTGCCACATTCTGTACACTGATAGGGCTTTTCCACATCACAGCTTCCTGGATGCTGATTAACTTGAGAGCTACCTTGAGAGGTCTCTGCGAGCTCTTTGTATTTCAAAGGCCTTTCCTCTATAGTGATTTTTTCATTGTTAGTAAGTTTGGTATCAGAATATTGTTCTCCAGTGGAGTTGGTATGATTCTGGGACAAGTTTGGAGTCTGACTAAATAAATACCCTTTCATGGAGTTTGTCTTAACTCTTCCATCAGTAGTACTGATACCCTCCTTCACAATTCCTGTTGACTGGATTTCTTGTTGTTGGCCAACAACATAATTTTTGGGAAAATTTGTTTCCTGAGAAAAGTCCTTCTGAAGTTCAAATGCACTCCTTTTTACTTCACACACTTCTTTTGTCAAATTATTGCCAGTCTGGATAGCAGTATATTCTACCAAAAGAAGTAGAAAATTAAAAGATGTCATACAGAACAATTTTGGAAGAGAATATAAAAATCAGAACGATATTTATTATATACAGGGTCTTAATATGTTGTCTAGGCTGGCTCTGAACAGCTGAATTCCCGCCCCTACTTCACGAGAGTTCATATGTACATCAACATGCCCTCTTCCAGAAGGTTCTTTAAAATCACTAGACTAGAGGTCCCCCCATCAGTGGACTTGGAAAGGGGCACGGTGGAGATGAGGGAGGGAGGGAGGGAGGGACTGGGAGGGAATAAGGGATCGGGACACAGCTGGGATACAGAGTTAATAAAATGTAACTGATAAGAAAAAAATAAAATTAAAAAAAAAAAGAAAAAAAATCACTAGACTAGATCAATAACCTAAGGTTCATGCATAAGGTCTAACTGTTGTTGGTAAAAGGAAGAAATGGATCCAGATATATAAACCATGAAAAGATTCCAAGATATACTTTAAAGTAAAAATAAAATAAATAAAAAACAAAGATTTCAAATGTGTAATGAAGAATGAAGCATAGACAAGAACATGGACCTCTATGTCAGAAAACTTCTGTAATAGTACATATATATGAGACCACCTCAACCAAAAGACCCCCAGCCAAACTCTCCGAAGGCAAAGCCACTGAAAAGGCAACACCAACAACAGAAAGGTTAAAGGTGATAGCAATGGAAGAAAAGTCTAGGTCTTGTCTATCAGCTCAGTATTTTTTTTCTATCATCTCGTGCTTCCCTACATCCTACCATTCCTTCTTGGTTGTCCCTATGGGAAAAGCTCTTTATTAATGATGTAGAAAATCATTAACAAAGAAAAGGTAGAAGACCTAACGACATGCCACAAGATGGGATTTGACAGGCATCAACAGAGAAAGCAGAACAACTATGTTGTTTCCCTATAACTTCACTCTGGCCTGCCCAAAACTGCTCTTTCAACTTCTTTGTGTGCTTCAGAAATCTCCGCTAAGGCCCACTGGGATCACCCCTCTTCCCATCTATTCCAAATACTGCTGAAAAAACTTTTCCTTCACAACCAATCACCTATAAATGTTCTTTTTTATATCATATTTTTTTACAGCACTGACCTCTCCATTTCTTCCCCCCCAAAATTTCCTTTTCCTGTCATTTTTCCCCAACCACATAAAATATGACCTTCTATCTTCTGCAAACAGGCTAGGCTCCCAGCAGTTGGACTAGGACAACTACTCAGCCACAAAACTTTCAACCCACATCTGTCCTGCCTATAAGGTGTGCTGGGACAATGGTGGCTTGGAGCTTATGGGAGTGGCTAACCAATGACTAGTCTATCATGAGGCCCAAGCCACAAGAGAAAACCTATGCCCCACACTGCCTGGATGGCCAGGAACTGAAAGCAGAATAGCTCAGAGACCTAGGGTAGAATCAAATATAACTGAGCCTTCCCCCAAAAAAGAAGGCAGACAGACTTCCTCTGACAGCTGATGGGAGCAGATGCAGAGACCCACAGCCAAACAGGCAGAGCTCATGGGAACCCAGCAGAAGATGGAGGAAGGATTGCAGGAGACAGAAGGGTTTAGGACAACCAAACACAACCCACTAAATCAACCAAGCAGGGCTCACAGGCTCTCCCAGATACTGAAGGGCTGTCATGGAGCCTGCATGGGTCTGCGCTAGGTCCTCTGCATACATGTTGCAGTTGTTCAGCTTCGGGATTTTATGAGACTCCTAACTGAGGGTATCTCTTTGTCTTCTCCTGGGACCCTTTTCCTCTTCTTGGGCTGCCTCACCCAGCCTTGATATGAGGGTTTGTGCCTACTCTTGCTGCATCTCGTTATGCCGTGTTTGCTTGCCATCACCGGGAGCCCTTCTCTTTTCTGAAGAGAAACAAAGGAGCAATGGATCTGGGGGAGAAAGGAGGTAGAAGGGAGGAGCCTGAGAGGAGTGAAGGGAGGGGAGGCTAGAGTCAGGATGTAATGTATTAGAGAATTACAAATAAAAAGAAAAATAATGCCTTTGCCTTACTACTTTATTATCATTACTCTCAACAACACAAGCAACCTGGGTTCCTCTAGAAAGGACTTTAAAACAATATGAGCCTTTTCAAAATTAAAAATATATTACCACAGATTCAATGTGTGTTGCTGTCTATCCCTACCTTTCACCTATAGAAACCCTAAATAATCATTAGGCAGAACCTTTGACAGAGCACCCAGGTATGAAATTAATGTGTGTTAAGGGATCTGGTGAAGTTTTCTTCCCTTCTACCGTATAAGGACATAGCATGAAGATAGATGGCTACTAATCTGGAAACAGGCCCTTGTCAAATACAGAATCCACTTGCACCTCCAAAACTGGAAGAATAAATTTATGTTCTTATAAACCATTTTAGGTACTCTGTTTAGCAGCCCAAACTGATGCATATATATGGAAGGTGCAAATTATATTGTTTATAAACCACTCAATCTATGGTACTCTGTTCCAAAATCTCAAACTAAGAAGTCTGTAGTAACAGAAACTTAAAAATTTAGTTATCCAAAGCATGAGGCACCAGGTGCCTAAAAGTAAAAGTAACTTCTGCTAGTCTAACACATCTTTTTTTTTTTTTTAATTTTTACTTTTTTAAAACTAGATTTTTTTCTTTCCTTGTTTGTGTTTTTTGGTTTTTAGGTCGCTTGTTTGGGGTTTTTTGTTTTGTTTTGTTTTGTTTTGTTTTTCAAGACAGGGTTTCTCTGTGTATCCTTGACTATCCTGGCCTCACTTTGTGGACCAGGCTGCCCTCAAACCCACAGAGATCCGGCTGCTTTTGTCTCCCTGAGTGCTGGGACTATAGGCGTGCGGCACTGTGCCCAACTGATTTTTCCTTCCTTTAATGATGAACATTTTCCAATATTTTTACAGATCGCAAAAATATAACAACTTAATTACTAGATGTTCTTTTGGCCTGTAGAGGTACGTCAACTTAGTGTTCTCTTCATACTGAAAACTGAGACTGTTTCCACTATCTTGATGCTCATGCACATCAAGGCTTCAAGTAATCTCATTACTTATGAGTCTCTGGCTCTAGAAAACAGTATCCAGGTTACCAAGTACCAACCTTTCTTCTAGGAAGACTACCAAGTCACGTGGAATTCACTCCTGCTCCAAAAGTCTTACCCCTGTTTTGTTCCTCACTAACACTGATAGAACGGGGTTCTCTGATAGCTGAGTTCTCTCTCACTACTACAGCTTTTCCACAGTGAAGGTAAACCCAGGGCCTCGTGCATTCTCAGCAAATGCTCTACTGCTATGCTGAGTCCCCAACCTTCTTTCATTACTATGACTTGCTTGCCTTTGGTTTCTACTGAGGATAAACAGTTTTCAAAATGATTAACATTTGTATGTCTCATGCACATCAACAGCTTATTCTTTACCAATTTTCATTAGTGGCCTTCCAAATCCTATGGTATGGCAAGATGTTAATATCCAGTGTCCAGTTTATCTTTATGAATACACCTTCCATTTAAAATTCTGACGGAATTCACTGCCCACCAAAATCTTATTTTCCAGCTTCTCTTGCAGGTCTAGCCAAGTAAGGCTTCTGTAGGCATCAGCAGGTTGAGTTATGGAAAAGGGCTTTTGTTCTGTGCTGTATAGTTTCACCGCCGCCACAGCCCTCATGCCCTTCACTTTCTCCCTCTGCCCACCCACATTTTTTACAGCCTGTCTCATTTTTTACCAACACATGAGATTAACTGTTGCATACAGAGTGAGAACAAACACCTTTGATTAAGGACCTCAGAGTATGGATCTAAACGCAGACACTTGGGTGAGCCAAGACCTCCTGACAGTCTGTGTACCTGCAAGAATCTCAAGTAACCATTTACACATCAACATTGAAGAAGCATGGGGCAGGGTACTTTTTATTTATACTCTCAATGTATAGATAATTAAAATTTAACTAAGCTAGACCCTTGATGTGTGCTCTCACATTTAGTCCTGAGCCCAGAATGGTACCTTTGCCTCCTCTCATTGTCACCTTTTAAGAGACAAGTTCACTAGACATAAAGACCTCAAATAACTGAGCCGCTCAGTCATGTAACTAGAAAGTTTCCTCACAAACACAGATGGGGCAATCCCTTACCAAAACCTGTAGCGTTAGCTATTTTTACCTGTGTAGAAAAAGACTTGCTAAAGCTAAATCCTCCATTTTGCGTGGCAATGCTCAAAAATGGTAAGGACCCCACCTCCATATCACTAAATCCATAGTCTTGCTTGAAAATAGCAGGGTCAGAGCCAGAATACAGCATCTGGGAAAAATACACTGCCGTCATCAAGAAGTGTGGCACCCATTTATGTTATGGAACAGGCTGTGCCTCCCTTACCAGTCCAGAGGCCCTGGGAGCCTGTTCCAGTGGCCAGCTGAGATAGGTTTTCCAGGTCCTCTCCTTCCTCTAGCTGTGAGATCACAGCAGGTTTGAGAAGTGCCAGTCCTGATTTGGAAAAAGGAAACAGAAGAGAATAAAAACTCTCCCATGTGTGCCTTCTTCACTTTTCCTGAGACTGCTCAGCTATGAGGGATCCCTCAGCAAGGCAGGCTCCCTCAGAAGGAAGCTGGCTAGGAATGAGAAGGGTCAGACTGGGAGCCAGAGACCACATGCAGAGACAGCTGGGAGAGCCTGCCTGAAAGAGATACTACTTCCTGGTCTTAGCCTGAAATACCCAGAGTTCGTTAAGATTCTTAAAAATGACTCAAGGTAAATAAGGCAAGGGGCGCCCCAAAGCTGCCTCTGGAGAACAACAAGTTTCCATTTTCACACCATGTCCAGTATGCAGCTTCTCTAGAGTCATTCAAAAGCATGACTGGTCTCAACAAGTCCTACGTTGGCCCCCAACAGCTTGGGATTTGCTCTTCCAGAAGTCTATATGTAAGGAGATTGGGAAAAGGCCACTCATAAAAGATTACCAGATCTCCACCTGACACCTGTTAGGAAGAAAGGAGCCAAGAAACCCAAAATGGCAGAGTCTGAGTCCCAGGGAGAGAAGCCTTACCCACAGAGGCCAAGTTCCTATAATTCTCCAGCATGACGTCCCTGTACAGCGCCCTCTGCTCGCGGGACAGACCATCCCATTCCGTCTGGGTGAAGTACACAGCCACATCCTCAAAGGTCACCAACTTCTGAAACAACAGGTTCTTGCTGCCCTAGGGCCAATTCCATGGCTCAGGCCCTAAGTGAGGGGCAGAGGGCAAAATAAGGGCTTGGGGAAGGGGGCTTGTGAAGAGCACAAAATTAGTAACAAGAGAAAGTGGAGGGGGGGAAAAACAGCAGGAAAGTAAATTATGGAATATCCTCCTCCTCTTACAGCACAGAAACCGCATGCCATTTTCACACTGGGCTGAAAGAAAAAGAATTCCCATAAGCAAATTCCACTGTACAATTGTGCTTTTAGACATGCTACTCTCGCACTTGCAAGCTGCTGGAAGCAGCTGCAGTCCCCACTGTATCCCTGTGAGGTCTGGTGTGGTTCACCTCAACCCCAGCTCTGCTCCCGACACATCACCCTCACCCTCATATGGTAAAACACATGTCCCTCTCCCTTCCAAAGGTAGCCTGGGCTTCTAACTCATCTGCCACCTGACTCCCTCCAGAGACCCCTAACCAAGGACTCCAAAAGCCCTCTGCCAGGGTGCTCATGCACAGTGGCTCATGCACAGACCCTTGTGTGACTCCACCTACTGGGCTCACTTTCCTGCCACCTTCCCTGGTCACTGCCCCCATTTGTGCTACCTGTCTGCCCACCTTTCCCACAAGATCCAGTCTGGCAGGTAGAAGCAGTTTTCCTTCCAAGCGGCAGCAGCTCTTTCCTCAGGTCTCAATCTGAACTGCCCAGAGGAAGGGATGAGGGACCCACAGCTCACCTGGGGCCAAACTGACGGGATCATGGCTGCCATCACCTGGTGTCCCTCTCAAGGAAGGTCTGGAGCTGAGGAAAAACAGAGGGTCGGGGTGGGATGGGAGGCAAACCACCCCAACCAGGAGCACAGCTGAGATCTGAGGCACAGGCAGCTGGTGTCTGGTTAGGATCAAGAGCTGTCAGAGAAGAGGGCATGACCCTCTCACTGGCTCAGGTGCCCAGTAGTCTGCCCAGGACACTGATGAGCTCATGTTGGCTGCCAAGAAGCCTATGATTTGGCAATTCTTACAAGCATCATATAAGGTGTTAGAAAGAGGCTAACGAATGACAGAGCAGGAATCGATGACTCAGTTCAAGAGATGACATCATCAAATCTAACTAATTTCTCTTCATGCAACCAAGCGTCACTTGCAGTCACACTGTAGAAAAAGGCCAGTTGGGCAGCAGCCTCGGCGTGGGCCTGGGAGTCAGGCTGCAGGAAAGGGGCGAGCTGTTCCACCTCCTGTCAGCTCCCTCAGTCTTAGTGTCAAGAATCCTCATGCTTGCCAAGAGTGATGTGCTAACCTGCAATCCCAGCACTCGAGAGCTGGAGGCAGGAGGATCAGAGTTTGGGGCCAGCCTGGGCTGCACAAGACCGTGCCTCCAACAACAGCAAAAGGATCCTGATGCTTTCTGGGCACCGTGATACATAGCTGCAACGCTAGCACTCTGGAGGCCAAGGCAGAAAGCTCCTAAGTTCAAAGTTCAAGTCCACCTTGTGCCACACAGGGATCCCATCTTGAAACAAACCCACAAATGAAACCTAAGGCTTCTGTGCAGGCCTCAGCAGGCTGGCTTTCTCCATGGCCTCCACTAACCTTGAGAAAGTGGACTGGAAGGGAGGGAGGGAGGGAGCAGGTTGCCTCTCAGCTCTCAATCTGAACTGTCCACTTTTGGATCACAGACATGCCAAATGGAGGCTTTCTGCAGTTCTCCTGGGCAGAGACCAGCTTTATAAAGCTGTAACCAACCTGCACCATAGATACCTCATTCCTGCCCTAGAGCTTCTCCATATCCTCAGTTAGATGCCTGCTGGGCTCTGAACTGCAGGGTAGTAATCTACTAGGTCACCCTTGACAAACAGGGGACAGAGATGATGGGTAAGTGCTTTTCCCCTTAGCCCTAAAAGAACACCTTGAGATTCCAAGGCTCCTCAGAAACCCTATAAGACAGAACATGTTGAAGGCCAAGCCTGATAAGGCAACCTTGTAGTGGTTTATTAAAGCAAGCTAAACTGGCCTAAGAAAGCCTCTCTACTCATATACCTGAGTCCTTACCTACAGAGAATCGCAACCTAACTCAGTGTATAAACAAATTCAAAACCTAACTTAAGAACTGAGTCTTGGCCAATCACAGTGGCCAGGCTGGTCAAACCAGGTTCAAATAAGGCAAGCACCAGGCACAAAGCAACTGTGCTAGCTCTTCAGTGAGGCTCTTCCCTTTTCCTATCTATAAATATCCGGGCCCATGGCATCCGCAGAATCTCACAAGTTGTTGTGCTGTCAAACTGCCCAACTGTCAAATCATTCTTAACTCAACTGAACTGTCATATTTGTCCATGATGTTTTTCCATTTTTCTCTCTTTGTCCTTCACTCTGTCCAGGTATAAAAGTCACAGTTAAATTCCCACAAACAAACAAACAAACAAAAACTCTGTTCCATGTTCTTCATCTGGGAAAACCTAGGCTACAAAAGGACTTTTAAATTTTCTGCCTTCTTCAAGTTGCAAGAGTTCTTCAGTTGTTTTCATTATTTCTTATTTGGCAATTAAAAACTATCGGCCATAAATTTCCCTCTGGCCCTGCATTAACCCTTGACCAAAAGTGCTCAGGGGTTCTCATGGTCTACATTTTAATCTACACTTCAGAGCTTAGTCACTCTGACTTGTCTCCGATGTAATAACTGTTTAAAATGGTGCTGCTCACACTTTCCCTACTTATAAGCTCTGGTTTTATTACTGTATGTGTAAATAGCCTGATTTATTTTTTCTTTTTTACAATTTTTTAGACTTTTCATTCTGTTTGTTTGTTTTGTGTGATATTAATGTGCATTAATGCCTATCTTCCCTTAAGATAACTTTTTGGTATTTAAAAAAAAATTATTCTACAATGAAGAATATATAACTGAATTTGAAGATAACAGGTCAACTCTATTAATGCATGGTCCATCTTGATGCCAACGGTGTTTGAAAAATGCAATACTCACATATAATTTTAAAAACGTACAGCATGAGGGTATCCACGTGAGGGACGGAAATGATCAAAATGCACCCTACACTTGTATGAAATTCTCAAAGGATGTTTAAAAACCAGGAAATGTCTCCATAGCCTCATACACAAAGTATCTTATGCACAAAATAGTCACCCTCAGTACTATTTTTGATACGTAACCAGCCTGATAACAACCTACCTATCCGGTGAAAAATGCATTTTTCTGTGTTGTCTTTGTAACTGTGTATTACCTAGCTGGTACTTACACTAATGAATTTACAAATTAACCAGGTACACTAAGACGCTCAAAAAGCAAAAGAAGGTTAAACTGTTCGCCTATCAGTGCCTGCGGATGACTTTTAAAACACAGGCTGTGATTAACACAAAATTCAAAACAGCTTAGTTACCTCTAAGGGTGGGAGAGTCTAGGAGTCTGGCGAAGAAGGAACATTGCTGATGAATGTAGCAGTAAAGACCAGATTCGTAACTGGCTGCTCACAGGTTAAGTCTGTCTGTCTGTCTTTCCTTCCTTGTGTGTGTGTGTCTGTCTGTCTCTCCCCCCCCCCCCCCCCCCCCCCCCAGGAAAACAGTATTTTGACTACGGTAAGGCTATCACTAAAGAGAACTGCATTCACCCAACTGTTGTACTGTCTTCTTCTGGGTATGAAACAGCACTATTATCAAACTATTCCGTGTGTATTCTAGCCACGTCTTGATCATGTGTGCATGTGCGGGACCTGCAGCAGACCAGGCCCCAGGCTTTATGACCCCAGTGGCTGAGAAGGGGCCCCGCTTTTCCTGCGGTACCCCAAGCCCCTCACCCTGTCTGGAGCCCCGGGGACTCGCCGTACAGACCTGAAGCGCCTGCAGGGCCGCAGCGCGTCAAAAGTCTTGCGGTGTCACCTCGAGCCGCCTCGCCCCCGCACGCAGTCACCCTCTGGCTGCAGGGACCCAGCTTCCCAGACCCGGCACCTGCTAAGCGCTCTGGGTCTGATGTGAGGCCGCCGCGCAAGCTTCTCCACCGGTGGGCACCAAGACGCGCTGGGCAGCGAGGCTGGCCGCAGGAGCCCCTGCGTGCTGACCGCCGGGACAGCGCGAACCGCAGCGAGTCCGCACTCACCTGCGCAGCACGGTCCGCGGCGCGACCGGAAGTGCGTCACTGCCCCCTCCCCGCCCCTCTAGTTGTGTTGCCTGCCCTCCCGGGGTGCCCCGCCCCCGCTTCTGCGGTTACCCTCTGTCCCCTGGGGCTCAAGCCCTTCGTCGTGGGCGGTGGGATCTGACGCCTGAGGACCGTTACTCCTGGGGACATGGACAAGCCCACCCGAGAAAGGCCTCCCGAGCTGGTGTCTTGGGAAAGTTGCAGGTGCCAGCAGGTGGACTGTGCCAGTGCGTCACAGGCTGGAGGAACCAGGGTCCACTTTAAAAATAAGTGTTACGTAATGTCATGCAGGCCTGCTGGGCCTTAATTGCAGCTGTTCTGGAAGCTGAGGCTGGAGCTGGAGCTTAATGGTACAATCACCAGTGCAAATAATAACAACTTTGGTCTTACCAGGAAATTCATAACTACCTTCTGTTGACACACACACACACACACACAACAACAACAACTCTTACCTTAAAGAGAATGGGAGATAGTTTATCCTCAAACCAAATTTGAGTGGTCATGGCCCACAGATTTAGGTTACCCCAAATTCTATGTTCCAACGCGGAAGCAGTTCCATAGTTTTACAGAACAAAAAAGTCCTGAAACAATGCAAGTTTAAAATACATTGGTGGGTGCATCGGAGGGGTGGTTACAGAAAGATGGGGGATGCTTCTTCCTCGGCTTTTGTGTTGGTAGAAGCTGGTGACCTGTTGCTAAATCCCAACAGGTGTTGAATCTATTACCATGGGACAGAGATAATCAAGGGATGGTTACATGATTATTCAGAGTTCTAAAGCTAGAGCAAAATAAGATGATTGGCCTCTACCCCAGCAGCATTCCAAACTCTCTGCATCACTGTAGTTCTTATCCAGCAGGCTTTGCAGACACAGCTTCTCTTCAGGAACTGCCTAGAGATCCACAAACAATACCATTCATCCTAAAGGATACGTGAAAATGATTTATAGTAACAATGCTACTTTGGCCTAACGGCATATACATATCTGCGTTGTCACACATAGAACTTGAATGCCACAGCTACCGAGCTGTCTTTTGCTGGTGTTTTCAAAAATCACACAAGTGTCCTCTAAAAGGTTGAATGTTTTTTAGCAAAGTTCTGCATGAAACACAGGATGATTTTTCTCTTCATTACGCTGCAGTTAGATTTACTACATTTTAAAACTGTGTAAATAGAGCCGGGCGGGTGGCTCACTCCTGTAATCCCTGCACTCGGAGATGCAAAAATAGACTGATCTCTGTGAGTTTGAGGCAAGCCTGGTCTACAAAGTGGGTCTAGGACAGCCACGGCTACACAGAGAAAGCCTGTTTCAAAAAAAACGAAAACCATGTGAGCATGCATTGTGTAAATCCTAGATTCATGTCAAGGTTGTCACTTAACATGAATGACCAGCAGCACACTTACTAGTCTGAAATCTTCCTCTGTAGGCAAGACGGTCCTATAGAGAAGGCTCTGTGGCACTTCTAACTTTGATCTATAATGCAACCCCAACATCGGCATCAAACGTAAACATTTACCCCACGTAAAGTCCCAGAACAAACTCGGGGGGAGGGGTTAGACAGTACTGAAAGCTACTGAGTTGGACCCTCTTTAAAAATTCTTCTTCCTGGAGTTGGTCACAAAATCTCACCCCCACTGAGGAGCTACTGGGACTTGATGGCTGCTGGGGAAAGGGGAGTCCATTTTCTTCAGGGATAGGGATGTGGTCCCTGAGAGGCTAGCCATACCCCAGCACTCTAGCCTGTTAGCACTACCCATGCGGTGCTTAGAGAACCCAGTGAGTTTTTAAAAAAGAGCACATGAAGTTGGAGAGAAAGGGATAGGAAGGGAAGGGGAGAAGTTGGAGGGGAGGAAATGAGGGTGAGTTGGGTCAGAACACATTACATGTATGTATGAAAGTCTTGAGGATTGAAAAAAAACTTTCCCTCCCTTACTCTGATAATCTAGTTCTTTCTTCCTTCCAGCTTGCCCCACACACACACACACACACACACTGCTGTACTGGAAGGCAATGGTTGGCCCCACTACCCCTTCCGGCTCTCATCACAACCATTTTCTTTTTTCTTCCTACGTTTGCACACATGCTGTTCTCTAAATGAATATCATTCTTAAATTGCCCTCTCCTTGTTATTCCTACCCTTCATCTTGACAGTTACAGGAAATGTCAGCTGAGATCCCTTTTCTCGTGAAGAGTGAGCCTTCACTAACCACCTAGAGTAAGGCAGGAGAGCCTGTGCTTGTCAGCAGCTGGCACATTTTTACCTAGTTAGTGTTGGTAGTTTACTTAAGTGCTCGTCTTTTCTGGTAGTTCCAAGAAGCAGGGGCTATAGACACATAAACATTATATACATATACATGCACATGTGTACATGTGTCTGTCTGTGTGTGTGTGCATCATGACCCTCAACTAAAGACAAAGCCACGCCAGAAAGAGGGAAATAAGAAGCATATGTTAACCCAAACCTCCAACCCCAACTCTTGGATAGAGAGTTCTTTTACTTCTGCGCTACCAGGGACTGCAGTGACATCAGTTTTTACTCTTTTCCACAGTGGACAGTATATGTGGTTTCTCAAATTCAGATAGGAAACTGGTCTCCATGATGGGTCAGATTGGGACATACTGATCTTGGCAGTAAGTGCTGGTTCCCTCTTCTTCCTTGGCTCAGAAAGCAGGCCTGTAAGTAAGAACGATTACTGAGATAAACAGGAAGGAATTCAGAGAGCGCAGTACCATAACAATACTGGACTTGAATGAGCAGATCACACACCAGAAGACCAGATCACACACAGTTACTGGGTTCTGCAGTTAGGAAAATGTGGCCCAATAAATAATCAAGACTCCTAAGGTTAACAACGTAAGGACAGATACACATCAAGTTACCAAAACATGTGACAAACCTAAAGAGGGTGATAGCAAACATTCTGCCAGACCTCCACTCCTGTCTTATTGTAGGTAAAGAATCTCTAGCGAGGCATATGACAATCCATGGAAAAGGAACTCATTTCTCCAGAAGCTTTTAAAGTGTGGTCAGGTGATCAGTTTCTGTCTAACAAGTTATAAGATAACATGACTCCATGTCCCTGAAGAAGAGCTTCGCCAAGTCCACACCTCCTCTGACTACATAGACTGCTATCAAGGCTGAGCATCTTGGCCTTCAAAAATTAGGATGTTTTCCCTAGAGATCCCAAGATTCGCAGGGGGAGAAGAAAGAGCTGTTACATCAGCCCTACATGCTGAACTTCACACAGGAGATGAGAGAGAGCTCAACTTTCCCCATAGTTTATGCCACATTTAATTTGGGCTCTTTGAATTAATTCCCAAGGTCCAATCCTTCACAGCCCAAGAGATGCAGAAGTTGAAGAGGCACAAACTGTGAGACACTAGGCTGAGTCTCGTACCAAGTGTCCTTGATCACGTTGGCTCAGTCTTGCCCTGCTTCAGGCCTCTGCTCTTGTATCCTCTGTTCCCGTAACCCCACTGACTCCCTAGACCCTGCTCTCCAGCCAGCAGGGGAAGCTGACAACCTCACATTAAAAAAAAAAAGAGTTCACTTAATATTTCTAGCTTGATATCACAGGATCTGCAACAAAGATGGTTTTTAGCCACTTCTCTTGGAAAATTATGCCAAAAAAAAAAAAAAATTAGTCTGGCTGGAGTTTCATTCTAGGAGCTCAACATTTCATTGACATCTTTTTTTTTTTTTTTTTCAGATGCTGGCTTCAGACTCACAGGTCAGTTAAAGCTTCCTCCCTAATTAAAATAGTCTATCCTGCAAGAAGCTCTTTAAGCAGAAAGGTAAACAACTCAAAATGGCTTCAGGAAGTCCCTAAAACTGACCAGATTTACTAGCTCCCTCCCTATCATATTAAGCAATAAAAACTGAGAGTCCTCCTCAGAATATGGAAGCTGAGCTTCAGAGAAGGCTGAGACCACACCAGATGCCTGGAAGAAGAAGACACGAGCAGAGTTGCCTGGAAGAGACATAGACCAACTGAGTCCCTTGGAAAGGACTCAGTGCACCTAAGGATTCCAGCCTTGTGAGCTCATTCGTGCTGGGCTAGTCTTTGGTGACAGAGCTGTCTTTGAGTCATTTCTGTTCCTGTATGTAACCCCAAACCCACTTCCTTAAGTAACTCTAATAAAACGCATTGGTTCACCAAATTGGACTTCAGTACTATCCATACTTTGGTGTGTCCTGGGCTCCATATCTGGGGTAAGTGAACATGTGTGTGTGTGTTGTGTGTTGCATCTCCCAGTAAAAGATTTGTCACACAACACTTACGGCTCAGCCTCACTATGTACTTCAGTGTTAATTAATTTAGTAGATCATTCAATGTACTATGTGGACAAATATATACTAAGGCAGGCAAAGTTATCCACAAAGCAACCAAAGCTATATAAAGAGGCAGCTTAATAATAAGTGTTTAAAGTGAGGGGTGTGTGTGTGTGTGTGTGTGTGTGTGTGTGTGTGTGTGTGTGTTTGAATACTCAGGACTAACCAAACAAAAAACCCATATTGTATAAGTGTAAAATCACGGGTAATATTTTGGTAGGAATGGTATAAAATCCAACTGGATCGATTTTGAAACTTCTGAAAATGATTCTAAAGTTTATCTAGAGGGAAATGTTAGACGTTAACAAAGTGTGTCTAAACTTAGAATTTTAGAAACACAAGAATTGAAAGTTTAAATTTGGAAATATATTCCAGAGACAAGTATTAAGTTAAAAATGGTATATCAACATTAATATCATGCAATAATGATTTTAAGACAAAAATCATTAGATAATGAAGTGAATGGTACAAATTAGCACCAAAAAGTTAGACGTTATAACACACATCATCCTAACTTCTTATCCAACAGGCAAGTACAGCCACATAACAAAAGTTAATAAGAAACTAAAGCCAGAGGTGTTGGTTTGGTTTAAGGAATGTGGGAGGTAACTGTTTGTGTGTCTTGTCACAGGAGGAAGCTGAGCTATAATATTCAGGAGGCT